AGGCCACGTCTTCCAAATTTTGCTTAGAAACGTCAGCTGAATATCCAGGTTCATTGTTTGCAAGTTCTACTTTTCACTCAAAAGCAGAACACAATTCAGACACATTTTCTGCCACTTTGCAACAAGGATCACTTTTCCTCCACTGTCCAATAACATGTTTGTTTCCGCATGAGGTCTTACCAAAAGCACCTTTAGTGTTCCTATTTCTCCCAGCATTGTTCATGATACAGAAATTCTCTAAGGTGGCTCAAGTATTCTGTACTGTCCCCTTCACTTCCTTCTGAGTCCTCACCGAAACTGTCTTTTTTGTCGATTATTTCTACCAACAGTCTCTTCAAGGTATGATCCAGACCTTTTCTATCACGCAGCTCAAAATTCTTCCAGTTTTTACCCATTACTTGATTCCAAAGACACTTTCACATTTTACAGTATTTGTTATAGCAGCCCCCAATTTCTTGGTACAAAAATCTGCTATTATTTTTTAATTAAAGTAGTCAGTTCACAATCTGTCAATTTCTGGTGTACAGTATGTTTCAGTCATACATATACATACATATACATGTTTTCACAGTCTTTTTCATTATACATTACTACAAGATATTGAATATAGTTCCCTGTGCTGTACAGTAGGACATTGTTGTTTATCTACTTTATAAATAGCAGTTAATATTTGCAAATCTTGAACTCCCAGTTTATCCCTTCCGATCTTCCCCTTTACCCCCAGGCAACCATAAGTTTACTGTGTGAGTCTATTTCTGTTTTGTAGAAAAGTTCATTAGTGTCTTCTTTTTTCCTCTTTTAGATTCCACATATGAATGATATCATGTGGTATCTTTCTCTTTCTGGCTTACTTCACTTACAATGACGATCTCCAGGTCCATCCCTGTTGCTGCAAATAGCATTATTTTCTTCTTTTTTATGACTAGTATTCCATTGTATAAATATAGCACAACTTCGTTATCCAGTCATCTGTTGTTGGACATTTAGGTTGTTTCCATGTCTTGGCTATTGTAAATAGTGCTGCTGTGAACATTGGGGTGCATGTATCTTTTCGAATTTGAGTTCCTTCCAGATATATGCCCAGGAATGGGATTGCTGGATCATATGGTAAGTCTGTTTTTAATTTTTGAGGCATCTCCATACCGTTTTCCATAATGGCGTCACCAAACTGCATTCCCACCAGCAGTGTAGGAGTGTTCCGTTTTCTCCACACCCTCTCCAGCATTTATCATCTGTAGACTTTTGAATGATGCCATCTGACTGGTGTGAGGTAATACCTCATTGTAGTTTTTATTTGCATTTCTCTGATAATTAGCAATAATTGAGCATTTTTCCATGTGCCTATTGGACATTTGTATATCTTCATTGGAGAATTGCTTGTTTAGATCTTCTGCCCATTTTTGGATTGAGTTGTTTGTTTTTTTCTTATTAAGTCGTATGAGCTGCTTATATATTCTAGAGATCAAGCCTTTGTCAGTTTCATTTGCAAAAATTTTCTCCCATTCCATAGGTTGTCATTTTGTTTTGCTTATGGTTTCCTTTGCTGCGCAAAAGCTTATAGGTTTAATTAGGTCTCATTTGTTAATTTTTGCTTTTATTTCTAATGCCTGGGTAGACTGCCCTAGAACATTACAATGATTTAAGTCACAGAATGTTTTGCCTATGTTTTCTTCTAGGGGGCTTATAGTGTTTTGTCTTATAGTTGTCTTTAAGCCCTTTTGAGTTTATTTTTGTGTATGTGGTGTGGGAGTGTTCTAACTTCACTGATTTACATGAGGCTGTCCAGTTTTCCCAACATCACTTGCTAAAGAGGCTGTCTTTTCTCCATTGTATATTCTTGCCTCCTTTGTGAAAGATTAATCAAATGTAAGTACACAGGTTTATTTCTGGGCTCTCTATTCTGTTCCGTTGATCCAATAGTCTGTTTTTGTGCCAATACCACACTGTTCTGACTACTGTATCTCTGTAGTGTTATCTGAAGTCTGGGAGGGTTATTCCTCCAGCTTCGTTCTTTTTCTTCAGTATTGGTTTGGCAGTTCTGGCTCACTGGTGATTCCATATAAAATTTAGGATGATTTGTTCTGTGGAAATGTCCTGGGCGATTTGATGGGGGTCACACTGTTTGTTTCTGGAGGCTGCCACAGCAAATCTGCACATGCTAGGGGATTAGAACAGCAGGTGTTTGTTCTCTTGCACTTCAGGTCTGAAACCAAGGTATTAGCCAATCCTAATCTCTGCCTCTGTTGTCTTGGGGCCTCCTTCCCTGTGGGTCCATGTGGCATCCTTCTAAGGGCAAGTCACTGGACTTATTGCCCACCCTAATGTAGTAGGACCTCATTTTTAGCTAATTATAAGATTTATAAAGACCCTATTTTCAAATAAGATCACATTCATAGGTGTCATGGGTGGACCTGAGTTTCTGGACACTATTAAATCTATTACACATCATTTTGATATATTTTTGACCTTACAGACTCATTGAAAGAGTCTTCAGGACCCCTAAGGGTCTTAGAATATACTTTGGGAACCACTGATTAAGGTGTGGTTTATCTTAGTTCTTATCTATGACTTTCAGAAGTTATCCCAAACTGAGAAGTAGTGGTTTTTCATCTCTAGTTGGATAATTCTGAAAACTACAGAACAGCTATCAGATAGATTGGTTCCAGCAGGTATTATGAATCTATCAAAAGTAATGTCATGAATCTATCTAGTAGAAGAAATATCTTGTGATGTTGCCTTATACCTCTTTGTTCATATTGAGTTAATGAGATTAAAAGATGCCCACTGTACTTATTAAAGATAAACATTATAAAGATTCTCTAATATCTGACAGACTAAAATGTTATTTCTTTCTAATCTTTTCTGTTTATGTATATACTGGAGTTATTCTGTAGTTTTCTATCTGGTATATCTCACACAGTAACAAAAGTAATGTATTCTGTGTTTTCTCTGAGCCAGTGGTAAGTACTTTATAGTAACTATGGTGTAGGCAGCATTATGCCCATTTTGTAGATAAGGAATCTGAAACATAACAAAGTGAGGTAATCTGCTCCATAGGATTAGTTAGATATTGCTATGTAACAAATTACCCCCAAACTGAGTAGCTTAAAGCAAACAACGTTTATCTCATAGCTTGCGTGGGTCAGAATCCAGGCAGAGCAGTGGGTACTCTGGTTCAGCGGTGGTGGTGGATGCAGGTCTTTGCAGGATATTAGATGGAGGGCCTCCCTGGCTGTTGTCTGGAGGCTGCGCTCCCCCGAGGGCATCTCACAACCCGGAAGCTTATGTTTACCAGAGCAATCAAGACCTGAAAACACATGAGCGAGGCAGAATTCGGGGGGTTTTAGAACCTAACCTTGGAAGAGACATCTTATTACCTCTGCTGCGTTCTCTCCTTTAGGAGCCAGAGTTTAGGGCCAGCCTGCATTTAGGGGGAACAACAAGCACTCGGCCCCAACAAGGGCTGGGCCGGGCCAGTGACGTGCCACATCAGAGCATTCGAGTCCCGTAACACCTCAGAAACAAATGGTGAGGAAACGGGACTGGAGATACTCGCTGTAGGCCAGGTGGCTTCTTCCTAAGCTCCCGTCTGCTCTGGCCTGGAAGCGCTGCTCTGGTGTCGGTAAGCAGAACTGTGGAGATTGTCCTGCGCCCAGTGAGACACCGCTGCCGCCTTGCTTACTGTCCTAGGTCCTCTGCTAGGCTTCTCTGGGATGAGCTATGACTTATGATACTTGTCACTGAGAAGGAATTACTGCAATTCGTACATTAAGCACCTGACTTCCAGCCAGGGACCTTGAACTTGTTAGGCATGTACTTCTTATTAGGAGTATAACAGCTAAGCTCATTTAAAATAAACATATATAGACATATGGAGAATGATATATTTATATTTTAAATAAGCTTAGAAATTATACTCCTGATAAACCATTCACAGGCCTCTTTATGGCATTACAGGCGTCCGTAGGTAACACTGCATCATTTGCAAGAGATATTAGTCATTAAATGGTTTCAGTACAAAGCACTGTATGTAGCCAGTGGCTGGCTAAACCAGTAAATGCTGATTTAATGACTAGGAATCTGCTTGGCTCAGAATTAACCCATCTGTTAACCGTCGCGAAGTTTAAGGTTAAGGCGTTTCAAGTATTTCGACCAAAGGCTGTAGCGTAGTAGTTCCTTACTGTACATATCTCCTCAGCTCTCGCAAGTTCCCCTTCTCTTTGGTTAGCATAACACAGAAGGCAGAGGCACCTTCAGATCCTAGGACTGTCACTCTGATCAGCCTTAAACAGTGGCAATGCTATAGGAAAGCAGCACTTTTAAAATATAAAGTTACTAATGAATACACATTTAGAGGACCCTCTTGGAACTCGTTCTGGTTTGCATCTGGTTGCAATTTCTTTCTGTCCTGAGGAACAAGAAGCACAAACAGGATATGGATTCAGCCTTTGTTCTCATCAGGAATTAAGGTATCTTTTGAGAATCAAGTAACTCCTCTGTCCCTGGGGGCAGGAATAGCTGCCTGGAAAGCCAGGAATAGCTCCCTGGACAGCAGCACCCAGAATCCACTGTACTGTCTATTCTCCTGCCTTTTCATACTTAAGCCTCAGGAACCCTAAGCCAAAATTCTCCTTACTCTCATTCTGTTCAAAAACTGCTGCTACTCAGTTCCTTACCTCTTGGCTCAGCAACTGCTACACTCAGGAGCAATGACAGACTTCGGGTTTGGGACAGAGGACTGCAGCTCTGAGACCGGCAAGGACACGGCTGCACAGCAACACAGTAACTGAGATGAGATGGACAAGTTCTCAGAAAGACACAAACTACTGAAACTCGGACAGATAAGGAAAATGTGAACAGATCCAAAACAAGGAGACTGAATTAGGGATTTAAAAACTTCCCACAAAGAAAAGCCCCGTCCCGAAGGTATGTGTCAATTTTCTGTCCTAAAATGTCTCCACCTCCCCACACCCCTGCCTTGAAGAAACATACACACCGTGTATCAGTCACCTGGAAGCCCAGCCGGGCCTCTCAGCTTGACTACTCTTTTAATTAGAAACAACTATATTCAGAGAAATATAAACAGTTGGCAATTAGGATCTCTTTATATACAGATAAAACAAACTGCAAGTTCAATTTAAGGAGGCTGTTGTAGATGATCTGATGGTCCCTCCAAGAGCCTGCATTTATGGGCAGAGGACAATCAGTTACGCACCTGACTGTATCAGCAGGCGGTAAAACCTGATACAAAAGAGGTAACCAATTACCCAACATGTCTTTTGACATCAAAGAAATAAAAACTTTGAAATACTAATTTCAACTCTGGTAAAACGAAAGTTCTCTGCTCCTGCTAATATAAAGGGGACAACTCCTGCAGGGCTCACTGTGGGAGCACAGAGAGATTTCAAACTAATCTGTGTCCCTCAGGGAGGTGGAGCCCACAGTCCTATGTTGGAACTCCCTCCGGCAAAGCTGGGAAGCACATCCTGGGATCTTCTGCAACGTGATAAACCTCTTATTTCAGAGGTGACACCAACTCTACCGCTGCTTAGTTTGGAAGTCCTAGTTGAAAAAGGCACCGCATTTCAGTTCTAAGTCAATGTTAAGATCAGCTTCTCCCTCTTTTTCCTCTTCCTCTTCTTTTCTTCCAAGTGGCTGGTAGCATCGGCAAAAAACATAACTTCACTCTTTGCCTCGCATTCCCTCTTCAGATAATCAAGACCTGCCATGTTGAAGCCGATAACATCCTGAGGAGGAATACAGGAAAGAGTAAACAAATGCCCTCACCCTTCCGCTCAGTACAGCAGCACATGCGAGTCAGGGGGACCAACGCTTCCTGTGTCGTTACTCATCCTCTGCCTGCGGTGTCCCCCTTTTTTTTTTATGTCCATCAGTTCCACAAAAGCCTTATCTTAAGTACACCTCTATGTCAGGTCATCACCAGGGACAAGGCGGTATGCCATGCCGCTACCTGTAAGTCACACACACAGTAGGACTTCCCCTCCTTATTCGAGCTCTACACAGATACTCACCCGGACTTGGCTGACTTTTGAAATAGTTGTTTCTTTTAATTTTTCAATCACGGGCACAAGCATTTGGTTGCTAGTGATCTGTCCAAAGTGAATCCTAATAGAAAAATAAAACCAGGCATGTCACAAAGAGTAGTGGTTTTGGCTCTACCTGGTTCTTCTAGAACCAGTGAAGAGACAAAATATAAAAAAAAACAAACAAAATTCACTTCATCAATCATGAGCATATAGAAATGCCTCCAGACCAAAAAAAAAAAAAAAAAGAACTAAGGAAGTTTCTTCTCTACTATTCAGTTCTATCTGATGACAATTTTTAAAATACTACCCTAACATTCAATAAAAAATAAATTGGAAGTATGGCAACTGAATCATCATTGTTCTTCATTCACTACTATACTGAAAGAATGAAAGGGATGAAGAGCTAAGAATCATGAAAATAAGTCAATTCACCAAATACATCCGTTTTCTTCTTCTTACTATTTGGTATTGGCTGAGCAGACTGTCTTCCTAATCACACTTAAAGATACTCAGTTTGTCTCTGTTCCTGTTCTCTGATGTAACAGCTGGAGACTGAGGGGCAGAGGAGGAGACAGGAATAATATATTCTTAAGCATTACATATTTTTAAGAATTCTTCCTATATAAGAATAGAGTATTTTTTTTATGTTTCTTAGTTCCCTCTATATATGCCCTTGTAGAGACCTGGGAAGTAAACTGACTATTCCTTAAAATGCTGCTATGAAAACAAAACCAAGCCATTTAAACGAAGTAGTTAAAAAGAAACGACACTGAGACAAACTGGCCACTGAGCGAGGGGCTCAGCGCACTGACTGGAAGCAGAGCTGCTACGTCAGACTGGAGACGGTGCCGGCCGGAGCAAGCCCGAGCAAGGCGGTGCCCCTGCCTTCAAGACTGATTCCAGAAGACAGGAAATAACCTATGTCAGGCACACTGAAATTGTGTGACAGTCCCTGAAACTGAAAAAGCGCATTTCTTAATCCCACAGCGTCAACAGCTTCAGGTAGCGCAGCTGCTGGAGCTGTCGGGCTGATGAGATGTGGTGTTTTGGGGAAAGGACGTTACCTGAGGAGAAAGAAGAGGCACCGACACAGGAGTTCAATATCAGAGCCCAGCTGGATGAACTCATTAAAGAGCTTAAGGATGTCGGGGACGTAAGAGAAAGGCAGCACGAGCAGGGCCTCTTCCAGCTCACTGAGGGGGAGAGTCACCGTTAACAGCGCCACACTTCTCAACAGGGTCCCTTTTAAAACCTTCTCCCCTCCTATCTCTTTCTTCTACATTTATACGTGTTAGATCTTCCCCATCCAGAGTTAAGTATTTATCTATGTTCTAGAGGGTTCTCTCTTGTCAATGTTTTGGTTGGTTTGTATTTACTATTTGGACCTACTCGATGCATTTCGGTCCATGGCCAGGTAGGAGAAGCTCACTTTTTTTCTTTCAGATTACTAACTGTCGAACATTCCATCTCTGTGTGACACTTCTACCAGCTCCTGAGTCCTTTTACATACAGAGTCTGTTTCAGGGCTTTCAAGTCTGTTCTGATGACTGATTCTGACAATAACCTGTACTGTTTTAATTTTGCTGTTTTTAGTTATTTTAATCTACGAGAATAGCTCCCTCTTGTTCTGGTTTCGGTCTGTTTTACTTTCCTTGAGCTAGCTCTATTATCATTTCATCAATTCCAATTAGAAATCTCAAGAGGATTTCAATGGGGAATCGCAAACCTATAGGTTAGTTTAAAAACAAAACAAATCTTTAAAACACAGAAATCTTCCCATCTAGGAATGCACTGTACATCCATTAATCTGAATTTTCTTTCACATCTCTTATGAAGTTTCATTATCTTAGATAAGTCTTGTCTATTTATTGTAAGGGATACATTTAGGTATTAAGATTTGTTATAAAAATGGTAACTCTAAGTCAAACTTGAAATCAAAAGATAAATCATAAACAAGAAACTTTAATCCAAAAATGAATGACAAAGGATACAAAAAATTCTTAAAAACTAGTAAGAGAAACTACTATAAAGCACAAGAAAGGAAAAGTAGCTAAAAATTCACAGGAAAAGATAAAAATGGCCAACAAATACAATGATATTTTAATTTTGTTAATAACCGAAAACGAAAGTAATACAATACACCACCTTCTGCCTCTCAAACTGGCAAAAAAGAATTTTTTAAGGCCCGGTAAAAGTCAGTACAGGCACTCTGGAAAGTAACTCAGTGATATAAACCTTTAAAATGCTCATGGCCATTGATCAGACTGCTAGGACCCTTAAGAAAAATAACCAATAAAAACAACACAGATTCATACATAAAGGTGTTCACTGAAGCAACAGTCACAGCAAAAGCAACACCCAGCAGTAACTATATGTACAATGGAATATTTTGAATTAATTCAGTATGTGTTTTTAAAGAATATTACTAACACGAGCAAATGCTCAGGAAATATTCTGTGAAAAGGACAGGATATAAAAATGTATACAGTACGATTCCAGTTGTGTATGCACACAGAAAGGAAGCCAAAGGAAACAGACAACAGCAAAGTTACAGCTGTTACCTCTGACTGAATTACAGACGATTTCCTCACCAAGCAGCACCACCTTTCATTTGTCCTTAAAAATGTATCACTTCATATTTTAGGAGGAACCTCTTAACTCTAATTCAAAAATAACATTATAATAAATTATTTTCCATCACAGTTTTGACAGTTAAACCTCTAAGATAACTGTCAATTTTAACATCAATTTATCTGTCTCATGTTCAACTAGGCATTCAGTAAATGTTGTTAGTTGCCAAGTGACAATGACTGTGCGCTGGGACTCACCTTGACCTGATTCCTTTAAAAATCTCCAACACATAAGCTGAAGGCTGTAAAGGAAGTGTAACAGCATTAGCGACACTCCTGGTATTGACTGGAGTGCTCTAATTTCCACCTCTTAAAAACCAGGGATCGATCTCTCACGAGAAACCATGTTCTAAAAATGCCACCACAAGACATGGGCTTAGACTGATCAGATCTGGGCTCACAGTCCCGCTCTGCCACTCACCAACTGCATTACCTTCAGTCTGTCAGTCAGGACAGGTTTCTGTCTATTAACGAAGACCCCCTGACTCACAGTATCACATGCAAGTAGAGCAGTAAGTAATTAACATCGCTAGATCAGCATACATTGTCCCCCTGTGTTCCCTCTCTCTTCCTCTGGACTGATTTATATCAACTTTTCCTCCAAAAACTTAATTTCAATGAAGAGAATCTTCAGAGAGCTTTGGATACTAACCACAAATGAGCACTAAAAAATAAAAAAATGCCAGTTCAGTCCAACCAAAAAGGATGAGTTGGAAGTTACACTAAAACAGCCCTTTTGAAATACAAAATATCCCAGAGGAGTTCAACATTCAGGAGAGATTTTTAACGACAAAGTACTTCCCAGTACACTCATCCTCTAATCATAATGTCTCTTCGCTTCCTCTCTTGTGCCTAAAGGAACCTCAGAATAACCAAGGGGAAACCGTCAGTTACACGTTCTACTCACAGAGATATTGCCATAAGCCATCAGGATCGGGCTGATGGGAAGAGGAACCTATGAAGAAATTATTAAGTTAGGTCATTAAAAAACAAGCCTTTTATGGTGCTTACCACAGGCAGGGCGATAACAGTATTGTGCAGTTTTTAAGAGAGACCTTAAAAAAGTATTAAGTTATTTAATAGTATAAAAGAATGATCAAACCTTTTAGTTTCAATAGTGCTTACGAGTGAGTCTGGGCCATACATTTCACCTAGAAATCTGAAATGCTTACCCTGCATCCCAAACTAAAGCAGGAACTAAAGTTGAGTTTCTAACTTAATACAACAGTCACCTCAAGCTAAAACTTCACAGCCTTTGCTTTTTATTAAGACAAAGCTTCCTTCCAGTTTCTCAATTCCTTTTTTCTAATATTACAGTTAGAAAAGATTCTGTTCCATTTATCTAATTTCCTGATCTGAGTTAAAAAATCCCCAAATGATGGTTTTTTCCCTCAGGAACTGTCTCTATTTATAAATGTCTCTCGGAGCGTAACTTAATGGGCTCCCTTACCTCTTTCCCTGCAGCTTTACAGATGGCTTTGTGTTCTTTCATTTTCGCAGTTTCTTCTCGGTATAGCTCAATAGCTTCCATGATCCTCTCAGCCTACACAGATGGTGACAAAGGACAGAAACCATCACAACACACTTGTCATCCCTCAGCACTGCAAGTGGAAGGCCTGACTGAGTGCTACCAAATCAGACTGCTTGAATCAGTTTAATAAAGAGGTGCCAGCAGTGTGCCGAACAGCATTTAAAGACGTCTTTGGTTGTTCATTTCTAATTTACAGGGAGGAGACTAAGTGTCGTGGATTCAGGTGAGATGGTGTGGGGACACCCTGAGTAGGGAGCTCCTAGGACACCCGAGAGGTGCCACTTTCAGGAGATCAAGCCTTCCTTTCCAGAAACCACGCACTCATTAAACAGATTCAAAACTACTCCCATCCTTAGTCCTCCTCCGAGGGAGAACAGAGGTTATGATCTCCATCTATAAATTTCATCAACTTTTTGCCACAAAAGGGCTATTTGTTTGACAGACTTTTACTAAAAAATTGGGATCCTATTTAAAATTGATACGCTACATTCTATATCAACTTACCGCTTTGACTGTTTCAATAGTTTTCTTTCCAGTAAAGTAATTGTCACCTTGAGTCTCTCCTGGAACCTGCCAGAAACAAAGAGATCCTTGAACAGCATTGTTGACAGGTGTTAAAGAGCCAATAAATTAATCTTATGTCCAGAAAAGAACAGGCATGACTCTGTTACAATGGTAACATGGTGTTTGTTACCAGCTGACATGAATTGAGTACTTAGTGCCAGACACCGTGAGTTTGGGCAATCCATTTCACCTAGAAATCTGAAATTAAATATTAAATATTTATATGCACTATCATAAGAATATCTTGCTCTACACATGTTTAAAGAGAATGCCCAATTTCTCAAATTTTTTCTGACTTTTATTTTACAGTGAAATAATTCCCTAAAGCTCCTTAAAAAAAAAGACAGAATGACAGTCATTCAATACCAAATCTGGTCAATCATTTGTCCCATAACATCAGGATATACAGTTAAATTAAGGAGGACTATACAGATTCCTTCCCATATCAGCCGCTGATGACTTCAGCTTCTAACCCCAATTCTAATTCCATTAGAAATTCTCAAAATCATAGTAAATTCCAGGAGGATAATTACAGGGCACAATCTGAGGGTCCCAAAAGTTTCACTTACTGCTGGTTGGTCTTCTTTGGCCACGCTCTCCTCATATTCTGCTTCCCTTTGCTGCCAAGAGACAGATAAAAATTCATTTCAAGAAAAAAAAAAAGTATGGTTCCTACGTGAAGTAAAATGAGACAGTGAGAAGCTGCTTCTTTCAAAACACACCCCCAACAGCATCTGTCTCCTCCTGGCTGCCCAAGTGGTGTCAGCAGTCCTGGAAACGTCTCCTGGACACCCCTGGACTTGCAGTGACTGGGGTGTCGCAGCATCAGACAGAAAAGTCCGGCTGGGGCAGCGTATCAGATATCAGTACCCACCAGAACACTTGTAACCGAGCCCGAAGTCCTTACCATCTCCCTCTCTTCCTCAAGAATAAGAGGCTCCCTTGTTCTCTCCCAAAGTCTCAGAGATTTGTCATGGGACGACGACACCACATAGTCTCCACTGGGGCTGACAGCCAAGCACCATACTTCCTGGTGGTGCCCCTGGGCAGAGAGAGCAAAAACATCCAGAGTAAGAATCCCTTATTCACAGACCGCCACCTACTCACGATAGTGGGCGATCAACACTCAATCTTAAAAGAAGTTCTTATGTACTAAGCAAGCAAAGCAGGTAGGAGGTTACCTCCAGAGTCTGTATGTGTTCAAATCTGTCCGCATCCCACTGCTTGATCTTATGGTCCTTCCCAGCAGTAAAGAAGAGGTGAGACTTGGGGACAAACTGTAGGTACATCACACTGAAACGTGACAGAAGTACCCAAATGTCATCAAATTCCACATTATGAAAAGGAGTCTTACACACATAAATAGCTTCTGAACCGTTAGTTCTAGAGTATCTTGATTACATTTTAGAATCTCTATGACTATGTGAGAACACTGAGTAACTGACACAGATGCTCCCGGGAAATGAAACTTACAGGTGACGCAACAGGAGACCTTTGAAAAGGCGACACCCACCTGTCGTCATGTGCAAACAGAGACTTGTGGCAGTCCCCGAAGTCCAAACCCCAGATTTTCACATTCCTGTCGGCAGAGCCAGTTGCTATTAGTGCTCCGTCCTAGGAGGACGAGAAGTAAAACATTACCTGATTACCTGAAACTCTGTAATTAGAGAAAAGCTAACCAGAACATGTACCCCATTTCTTTCAAAACATTAATATCAGTGCCCCCAAATTAACTTCATATCTTTACCAAGAGCACATACATCTTTGCTTTTACCTACAGATCTACTTAAAAAACTTGTTAAGTGAGCAAGAACTCTGTGGCTGTTTTTGTACTGCTACAGGGCAGTGCTGTGTCTTGAGGTAGGCTGTCTGTTTACTTTGTTAAATACAGCAAAGAATCTCTAATCTCTGTCATAGGGTTTACGGGGAGAGGAGGGAAAAAGAAGGAAGGAAGGAGGCTGGGAAAGAATCTATTAGAATGTTTATGACCTTGCCTTTTATGCCACATTCCTTATCACTATTTTGCTTCTCCTTCCTATTTCAGCACCTGGTTCAAATGGTTGTCAACATAATAAGAAAACTGAAAGTATTTTTTGACACCACTTTATTCTGTTAATGCACTGATCGCAGACAGAGCACGGGACCGATTCCTTTTATACACACTAGACATTGTTTTTAACTATATAATGCCATTCCTAATCGTAACTAGCCATTGCAAAAATATCATTTTGGTCAAGAAACTAAATGTATGCATAGTACAAATTACCATAAATATTGCAAAACTCCATTTTCCTTACCAAGGTTATCCTTCAGAACAAAGCGGGATGCCTTTTTGAAAGTCCCTCATACTTTAGGGTGCTCTACCAATTATATTATTTTAGACAAGGAAATACCATTTGGGGGATCCAGCACAGGGAGTTTAGTTATGAGGATTAATTCAGGTGTCTATGAAAATATTCTAAATGCATGAATACATATATATTTACAGTATGATTATAATACATATTATTTTATAATTTTTTAGGATAGTCAGTTATACGACAGACAGAAAAAATAAACACTAAAATGAAGGTATCAACCTAAGAACTAAGGAAGTACTTTAGAAAAGACAACTCATTACTGAGACACTATTTAAATTTTACTTACATATGAGATGTCCATACATATAACAGGCAGTTTGTGTCCATACAGTGAGAGAAAAAACTAGACGTTAAAAAAAAAGTATATAAATAACTCACATCTGTCTATAAAATATAGGCATAATTGTATGACATATAGATCTAAAATAGAACTTTAAAATACAACGCTAAACACTGTTCTGGATTGCTTTAGGTCTGTATTTTCAAAGACAATGACCAAGAACACTGAAGGCAGCTTGTCCCTATGTCGAGCATACAAACCCTGCACGCACTTGCCAAGAACACTGCCGCAGAGCGGAGCCGCGGATGCCCCAGTCAGAACGCGGCGCGGGGGTCCTCTCTGGACCTCTCAGTGGTAAAGCCTCTGGAGCACTTGTTTCACAACTGTGTTCCCAGGCCCAGTCCGGGCCTACCGAGACTCTGGGAGTACAGCCCAGGAATCTATACTTCTGAGAGCAACCCAAATGATCCTGATGTACGGCCAAGCGTGGAGTGACTGCCGAGCACACCTAGCAGTGCTTACAACTACTGGCCCCGACAGGATTTTCTGTCCACGGAGTTTCTGAAATACAACTTGCTTTATACAAAATTTATGAACCAAAGGAGCCTTTTAAAACTCTAGCCTTCCTAGGGTACTTGTGCTGTTTTGATTTGCACATAAATTTTTAGAAACATACTACTGCTGGAAAGAGTCAAGGCCACTTCTTTATAGTCTTAACCCAAGTTCAGTCAGAAAGAAAGAAAATATTCGCAGGCACAGCCATTGTACCTTTAAAGTGTCAACATAGAAAATTTTCACAGTGCAGTCCAACAAAGACACAGCCAGCAGCTTCTGATTGGGAGAGTAACGGACACACAGAACTTCTTCATCTAGTTGCAAGGTCCGGGTCTGCTTCACAGAAAGCCTAGCATCGCAGAAAGCACCGAGGAAAAATAGTGAGCCCTCTACAAAGGCAGACAAACATTCTAAAAACCGTCTGGAGCTCAACGGGAACATCCATGTCAAAAGCCCATTCGGTGGTTCCGTTTTCACTCCAAAAAATGGTCGCAAATAAAAAATGTCTACTCACCTCTTCTGGGTACTGTTCTCATCTTTCACCAATTCAAAATCCCAGAACTTGACAGATTTATCGGCCCCACCTGTCACAAAGCCACGCTGAAAATCAAATGACATTTCAGTTAAAAAAAATCTTGTATAGAAACTTTGATAAGAAGACACATCAAAATAGTGCAAAAGACCGTTTTTATTTAATGGCATAGGGTAAGAATTAAGAAAAATGTGGTTTCTCCCTAACCCCTTTCCTTGTTCTTTGGGGGCCGCTGCCACAGATCTGTCTGAAAATTCCCAGCAGAGACAAATGTAGTCAGATGATGACCAAGGTCCTAGTTACACTTTTATTCAGCATCAGGAATGAAGATCCAGTGGACACCATGGGTTATTTCTACTCCACATAAGAAGGCAACAGTCAAAATAATTTGCTGTGAAGAATTAAAATCGTTCGACAAGTACACATGGACTGGATAAGCTAAATAAGTTTATTCAAAGTTACTTACCCTAGAATGGCATATAAACTTATTCCTGCAAGTCCCTGCTTAAATATGCTCAGAACTGTTTTCCAGTATCAAGAAAATTGGTCTTACCACACTGGAGTGTTAGTATAAAGTACAGAGGACATGGAGTCAGAAAATTAGATCTCAAGTGTCTAGTCTGCCATCTCAGAGATTTGTAACATCAGAAAAAAGCCTTATAATGACCCTTAGCACTGTTGCTCTGATAAAGACTACCTAGTTTATAAAACCACTGTAAAAATACTAATAAATGACATCATGGATGTGAAAACACTTTGGAAAAGAGAACATTCTACAAATGCAAGGTGTTAGTAGTATTTAAATTTAAATGTTAAATGCTGTTTCATTTCTGACCCCAAATGGCATTACCTACTCTAAATTCCAGATTCCTTTCCCTGGCCCCCCCCCCAAAATACCACTTCTAATGAACAAAGGTTTGTCACCATTGGGAATATTCAAATAAATGGGCCACAATCTCTTAAAGTATCATCTAAAAATATCTCACACCGTTCTGAACAACAGCACCATCACTGAGTAAGTACGCAGTTCATCCAGCGTGACTCCTTTGAAGGGAAACACGCTGCTGCTGACTTGGAAAGGCTCACGTATTTACTAAACATCTCTAGACTTATACAGTCATGGATTGTGGATGAAAAGGGGAGAAGAAAAGTCTACTCTACCCTCTGCATTATGATGCGCAAGAAAATATTTCCTTTTAAGGAGTATCACAAACACTGGTAAAAAGTCACAAGGGTGAGCAACGTGAGGCCGTGCAGCTGATGACCGAGAGCAGCTGACCCAGAAGTTCAAGTCAAAATGACAGCTACTCATACCATCAGGCACAGGCTACGGAGCCAGACATAATGTCTGAAGATCAGACCAAAAGCAAGCTTTTTATAAAGGAACCTGAGAGAAGTCTCTGTCAGGCAGCAGCAGAACCCCGTATAAGACACAGGAAGTGCAGCCAGGGTGCTGGAGTCCAGACCCTGACTCCTGGTGTAGTTACCTGATCTGGAGAGAGAGACAGGGACCATAAAGCACCATCATGTGCATCGATTGTCTCCAGCAGATTTCCTGATGCCAAGTCATAAAGCTGCAGCTTTCCTGTCTACAGAAGATGCAAAATGAGATCAGCACACCCACAGCCTCCACGATGCACATCTACACGGGTTAGAAGAGATTTCATAGCCCAGCAGCGACAACATGGCCCCTTGCTCAGGAAATGGCTCCCACGTTCCATGCTCTATACTTCCCACGTGAATAAACGTCAAATCCCCTGCTGAAGTGTTGCGTTAACCTTGCCAGGGTTGCTGTGCTGTACAACCATGGAACAGCACCACCTCATGGTACTGGACTCTTGCCAGTACTTTCACTGGTTCCCCAACTCTAAAAGGGAAATATCATGGCCACGGGCTATATCAGAATCAACATAACAGCACATGGGAAACTTAATAACCCTTAAGACGTAATCCTTTAAGTAGACTATTCTCTACAACAGTTGGCTTAACCAATTCTTCTCCATCTAGCTTTGGTTTCTTCCTCTACAATACATTGATAATGAGAAAGAGAAAAGAGAAATCTCCCCACCATGCTAGGGAGGGCAGTCAACTTAAAAAAAAAAATGCAGTAGCTGAGAAAACCATCAGCCACGCTTCCCGCTTAGAATGCTGTATACGCTATGGTCACGGTGCCGGCACAGAACACACGGCGGCAAAGCCCGCCCTGTGATGAGCTCGTGCACGTGTGTGGGAAGGGAGCACGATGAAGAGTCCCAGGGCTGCCTATCTGCGACTCTTGGTAAACTCGTCCCCATGAGCCTGTTTTTCCATTTGTAAAACAGAGTTTATATCACCAAGCTCTCTAGCGGCTGTGTGGGGATTAAACGGTAACATACAATAGCTGCCCAGCACAGAGAGCAGGCTGGGGACTGGACCCGAGTCGGACAAACAGTCTGGGAAGCAATCTGCAGTGTCTTCCCGACAGCAAACCGTGGATGGACATTTGTTTGAAAGAGTGAATAAAAAATGAGGGAAACTTTTAACTGAAATTTAATGCTCTTTCCCTGACACTGACCCTAAAATTTCTCCAGCTTATTTTATGCTTTTTGCCAAGCAAAAAACATCCATTATGATAACATAGGTTTCCTAACAAAATAATCATGCACATATGGCATTGGTTTAGGGGGATAATAATGACAAATACTTGCAAAGCACTTTTCCAAACATTCCACAGACCTCATTCCATTTTATTCCCGCTACTCCTCCTACTGCTGCTTCTGTAACCAGCTCTTATTAGCTATAAGCTGAGGTTACTGACTTCGGTTTACATGAAAAAAACAAGGCTTACAGGGTTAAGTAACTTGCCCAGATGTCTCATAGCTAGGAAGTGGAAGAGCTGGGATTCAAACCTAGGCCTATCTGGGGCAGGAGCCTCTGTCAAAAATCAAGTGTCATCATCCCATTATGCAGAGAAGGTATCACACTAAAGAAGTTATGTGACTTGCTCTAAATTACCCATTTTAAAGGGGGAAAACCTGAATCCAGATCCATGTCTGCTCATTCCCTCATGGCAATCTCCCAACCTGATTAGCAGCCGAGCACTTGGTCACTCAGTCTGTCTTTACTGAATGCTTCCATCTGCCAAGCATGATGCACGTACTTAATGTATTTTATCACTAGTCTTCTCACAACACAGTTACGTATGTGCGTATAAAAAGATGCATGAAAGAGGCTGATCAACAAAATGTTAATGACAATTATCTCAGGGTCATGATTTTAATTTCCTTCCTCACAATTTGACATAAGTTTTGATTTAAAAACAACAACAACAACAAAACAAAGAAAAGAAACTTAAAAAGTAAACCTCAAAAAAGGGCAATGAACTAACACCCTCTCATGTTATCCGGCTCTAATACATTTCCCAGATGATAAAAAAGGAAGCAGACTTCTCAACAGCTTTAAGAATACTGAGTAGAGAAGTCCCCCAAATCCAAGAAAAAGTCTGTTTACCTTTGTTCCTATGACCACCTGCCGATCACCAGGTACAAAGAACGAGCAGAGCGCATACTCGCACGTCATTGTGCGAATACACTGCAGGGTAGACCTGGGAGAAAGAAAGAACAAAGGAAGAGCTCACGTGTTAGGAGGACCTGCTTGTCCACCTGAGAGGTCAGCAGGTACATTCAGTGCACACTTAGCCACACAGAGCGATCAACATGGAGACAAACCCTTTGAATAACCCTTGGCTTCTAGTCAAGGGAGAAAATATTCAATGGCACCTGACTTTGTTTTCGTTTTTTTTTTTAATCAAAGTATGGCTGATTTACAATGTTGTGATAGTTTCTGGCGTACAGCAAAGTGATTTAGTTATACATGTATACATTCTTTTTCATATTCTTTTCCATTATGGTTTATTACAGGATATTGAATATAGTTCCCTGTGCTATACAGTAGGACCCTGTTTATCTATTTTATAAATGGTAGTGTGTATCTGCTAATGCCAAACTCTTAATTTATCCCTCCCCTACCTCCTTTCCGTTTTGGTAACCATTTTTTATGTCTGTGAGTCTGTTTCTGTTTCATAAATAAGTTCACTTGTATCATATTTTATTTTTTATAAGTTATTAATTTTTATTGATTTTTTAAAAAATAAAACATTTTCTATTTTGTTATTTATTGGAAGGGAGGTAATTAGGTTTGTTTATTTATTTAATGGAGGTTCTGGGGATTGAACCCAGGACCTCCTGCATGCTAAGCAGGTGCTCTCCTGATGAGCTATGCCCTCCTCCCCAGTGTGTGTCCTATTTTAGGATTCCACATATAAGTTGTATCATATGATATCTGCCTTCTGCTTTCTGACTTACTTCATTTCGTGTGATAATCTCTAGGTCTAACTTTGTTTTCTTGGTTAGGGGCTCCCAATCCTAAGGAACAGATTCTACAAAAGCAGGGCTGGGAAAAGCATCTGCTGGGCTCAGGACAGCCTGACCCGCCGCTATAAAGAAGCGAGCCCAGAGGACTGCAAGTCGAATTAGCGTATCACACCCCTGCAAATAAAGTTCATTTTATTAGACCGTAAACACTCATCCATTCAACAAATATGTATCAAATGCCCACTTCATTCAACATTTTCTCAATGCCAGGCACTCTTCTAGGTGCTGGAGATATAACTGAATAAAACAGAAGAGGCCGACTCTCATAAAGCTTAACATCCTTTGGAAATGAGACAGATACTGGTGTATCAGGTGACAGCAGGTGCTGTGGAGAAACCCAGCCCTGGGGGAGGGGATGAAGAGCGCAAGGCGGGAAGGGGATAGCAGGACTGTCATTTGATGGGAAGACAGGGAGAAAGCCCGTAGCCGAATGGAGAAGATGGTTCTAGGCAGAAAGGAGACAGAGCACAAGAGCCACGACACAGGCACATTCTTGTCGTGTTTAAGGGGTAACAGAAAGGCGAGTGCGGCTCCAGTGGAGCAGCAGGGAAGGGAAGTAAGAGGTAAGAGAACAAGGTCTGTAAGGACTCTGGCTTCCAGTCCACATGAGATAGAACTACTGGAAGTGCTGTAACTTCCAGGATAAAAAGCTTACACTGGCTGCTGTGCTGAGAACAGACAGCAGAGGGGCAAGTAAGGAAGCGTGGACACCAGACAGAAGTTCCTACAACAATCCAGATGAGAGTGAGACCCGGTCTGGACCGGTCGTGGCAGGGCAGGTGATGAGACGTTGCTGAATTCCAGTTAGTCTCAAAGGTAGAGATGACAGGATTTGCTAATTAACCGGACGTGGGAAATAAAAGAGAATCAAGAATGGCTACAAGGTTCTGGGCTGGCACAACCGCAGGAAGCAATCATGTACTAAGATGGGGAGATCTGTCTGTAAGAACAGCAGGTGGGGAGACCCAGAGAAATGAAGATCACAAGTACGGTCCAGACACATAAAGGTCTGAGATGCCTAATTAGACATCCAAGGGGTGATACAAACAAAGGATATGGAAATATGAGTCTGCTGTTCGGGGAGAGGCTAGGACTAGGGATATAAATTTATGTGTCACCAGAATAGAGAAAGCCACCTGACTAGAGGTCGCAGAAAGTGAGTGTAGAGAAAACGTCCAAAGACTGCCCTGAAGTGCTCCAACATTCAGGGGTCAGCAAAGTTAAAAAGGATCTGAGAAAAAACAGCTGGAAGAGGAAGTCATTAAAAGTCAAAGAAAAGTGTTTCAAAGAGGAGACGTTATCAATCCAAGGAGAGCATCAAATGAAGCTTACAGGTCACTGGATTTAGAAACATGCAGACCACTGACGAGATGACGGGAGCTGTCGTGGGGAAGTGGTGGGGGTAAACGTCTGACGGGAGACGGAGGAAGACAGCCTGGAGAAAACAAATCGGAGGAGGGGGAGCTAAGCGGAGAGAGGAGGATGAGACAGGGTTACTGTTCTCTTTCAGACGGGAGATATTACAGCGTATCTGTATGCCGACAGGAAAGCTCCAGCAGAGAGGGAGGAAAACTGCTAGAAGGAAAGAGAAGAAATACAAGCCATAACGGACTTTTGTTTAGGGGCACCAGCAGTCACAGGAGGAAAGACAGATTATGTGGACACAGATGCAGCTAAACTGGCAGATGTTATGGGAACATCTGAATGGTTTTTAGATGATTCCATTTCTTGAGTGAACTAGAAAGCAAAGTCATCAGCTTAAAGAGGCTAGAGGGGTGTGAGGTGTGAGGAGAGAGAAGGTGCGAAAAGCATCCAGGCCAGCGAGGAATGAGAAGCCATGGTAAGATTACTGGACAGCACTGGGAGCCTATGTGAACTGAGAGCAGGTAGCATATTTGTGTTCTTCTCTGGCCGAGAACAGCTATAAGCTTCAGACGTGGAATAAACTTGCATTTTTTTGCACCAAATGTGAAAAGGCCTTTTTTTCCCTACTCTAAACTCCACTGGCCTATGGTCAAAATGTGCTGAAGTTACATTTTGAGAGAACTGTATTTAGGGCCCCAAGAAACTAACAGCTAACCATCAAGAGTACTAAAAACTAATTCAAAGGGAAGAAAACACTGCTGGGTAAAGCTACAGAGGATCATTTCACCAACCTGTTCCATATCTTAACGGAATCGGCTGCTGCTGAAAGGACAGCGATGTTGTCCGAGCTGAACGACAAAGTCCGCACGTCACTGCGATGACCCGCGATGGTGATTCTGTTCGTCCTGACAGGCTGAGGCGCTGGCACGGACGGGCTCAGTGAATATAATTCCACCAAGTTGTTCTGCAGCAGGAAGACAGCCTTTAACTCGCCTTGAGGCAAGTGAATCAAATCAAAGGACCTGCATGAGAAGACACACGTAAATGTTGTAGCAACCATCTTCGCTCGCAAGGGCAGCTTTTTCTGGGAGACAGGCCTTACAATGCCTTCCGTCTACACCAAGTCTGAGCAAATATGAAGGATTTTACAAATCAGGGTGCTCTGAATATTGGACAGCAGTCAAGTACAGGATCTTAAGTCAAAGAAACCTGGGCTCAGATAGTGGAACTGAGCTGCTCTGGTGTGTGTACTTTTTAATAAGGGACCTCAAATCCTTTTAGAACATGGGTGCACATTTTTCCTTTTAACTGGCAGCAGGAAAGAACTGTATGAGATGATGAGTGAGCCCACGGTGAGGCGGGAGCTGAGTGAGTCCCATGATCACTGTCTCTGAACAGATAATTCGTAGACACTGCTTACAAATAGCATGAAAAAGCCGAAACAACTTTGTAGCTTCCTATTCTATAACACTTCAGATACTACATTTTACTCACTTGATTTTGGCAGAAGTTTTGATATTAGTCACCCGCTGGATCTCATCTTGCAGAGTCATTTCAACACTGACTTCAAGGTCTTCCTCCTCACCTTTGCAAGAAGTTCCTCTAGGGGGCAAAAAAAAAACCCAAAAAACAAAAAACCACTATCATGCTGTTACCGCTCTTCTAGAAGCAGCTTTGCTATTACTAGTACTTGAGTCAAGTTCTGGTCTAAAACCAACAACCTATGTGAACCTGGGAGAGTCACTTAACCACACAGGATTACCATCGGGATGAAACAATGCAGTGTGTGTAGAAATGCTTTGTGAACCAGAATGCAATCAGTGTAAAGCATTATTCCACCTGATGAGTACCCTCAATAAACGGATTCTGAATGCAACAGCCCATGAAATTCCCTGGGACAAGTCTTTATCATTCAGATTATTCCACAGGAGTCTTTCTGGTAAACTTCTCTAACTTCAGAACTTTTTAGAAAATCCATTAACCTGCACTTATCAATCCAACCATGTCAAAAAAAACCAGAGGTCTCAGATTTGCCTTGGCAAAAAAAAAAAAAAAAAAAAATCAGATGACTATTTCTTTGAGACTTGATAAATTTCAACCACTGAGAAACTGATTTCCATAGTTACAATGACTTATTTTAAGACTGTATTTCCCCCAAACTTCAGTAACTATCCAACCAGTCTTCCTTCTCACAGCCCCAAAGGTCAGCTTCCTGCTGTATAGGCTGCTGTCACTGAAGACACATTGCTAGCCTCTGAGAATTACGTCACTTAGAAGCCATTTTTTAAATATCTGTACTGTCTTTCTGGTCCTGTATGGCTCTGAGTGCAAGGCTCAGGAATACGTTACCTGTACTAAAAAGTAGAAATTAAAAACTTGGATAATGGCACGCCACAAAATCTTCTCTAGCTTTTAACGGTTATTGGAAACAGAGTACATAATCCCTTAGAGAAGCCATGGTTCTTCTACCAGTTTTTATAAGGCCCACCCAGGCTACTTTACTAGTAGTAAATACCACGAAAACACACTTTGCTTTCTTTCTAGCTTTCTTCATCTTCTTGTCCATTTTCTTCTGAATTTCCTCTTTGGAAAGGATACGAAATACTTCTAGCACAGAATCGGTTCCCTAGAAAGGCAAAAGGTTGATGTGAGTCCAGGAGAGGAAATTTGTAATTTAGTAAAAACAAATCAATAATGTTTCTTTTTCTTCCCTTACTAGTTGTATTACCATGAACACCTAAACCTCTCTGGGATTGCTGTCACATCTTTAAAGTGGGGATACACGACTTCCTGTACACAGCATTGATCTGAAGACTGAATAAGAAATTAATGCTTTTAAACTGCTTAGAAGAGCAGAGATTTAATAAATGTTTGCTAATAAGAACAATAATCGTTAATTATTGTTGTTAAGCTAACAGAGCTAGGGAGTATTGGTGCACACAGTCCCATATAATGAATTCTTAACAGAATCAAAAATTCATCTCTACATGGAACAAAAGAGAAGAACAAGTCTCTGAAAGGAACAGCCTGGTCCTTGTTACTTTCTCCTAAAACTGGCACTCACGTGGCAAGCAAGAATCCTGCCTGTCCTGTCGACTGCAAGGTTCACAACTCGGTCCCTTCCTTCCCGCATTATGGAACCAGCTTTTCTGCACGTAAGGATGCGCTGCAGAAGCAAGAGAAAAGATGAAGATGAATAGTTATTTCTGCTGACCCCTGAGGAGACATGGTTCTAAAAAAGGCAGGTGACAGTGATATTCCCTGAAAGGAATACTTTCCCACCACTCAACTCAACTGAAGATAAGAAACAAAATGAATTACATCCTCAGGAGCTTCCTCCATCTCAAGGGTACCGTCCTCTGCTTCATGTGTGTCCTGTATTCCCGGGGAAGACTCTTTGATTTTCTTGGGCTCTGGTTCTTCTGGGTCTTCAATCTGTTTTAGAAAAATGGGAAAATAAAAGCTGAAATAATGTGCTCCAGAAGGTGACTCCTAACCCTAATGACTTAGAAACCTGTCCTTATGGCCACTGATAACTTCTATTTGTGATCTCTCTGATCAAACCTCTTCAGTGGCAGCACTTTCACCAGAATGTATTAAAAATTGACTCCATCAAGTGCAAGCAGGACATTATTCATTACACTAGCTCCAAAAACTTTCCATAGTATAAGGACTATTGTAACAAGGTGAAAAAGTGATGACCCCCATTAACTTTAAGAACTTCTCAGGTGAACCTACCATGTTCTAGAGGGAAAGAGTCAAATGGGCATCAGAATGGCAAAGGCATTGCATGAGAGGCTACATTTTTCTCCTTAAGTAAAGAAAAGATAAACCCTGGCCTACTAACGTAGAACTCATCAAAATGCCTACTGGACGCAACTCCACACACCTAACTCCAGCTAAACCTAAGGTCTATTTTTCCACAGAAAATCTTTAAGGATCTGAGAAAAAGTTATAGATCTTCTCAGAATATACATATTTATATAAATGGGCACAAGTTTTATGTAAGATTTTTGTTTGAGGGAAGAGGGATACAGATATTCCCAAGTCCATCCATGGACACCCAAAGGTCATGGAATATGAGGCAGAGAGCCCTATGAACTAAAACACGAGCACTACCAGAAGCTGCGAGCCTAAAGCTATCCTTCCACGCGCAAATGAGAGCAATGGAGCAAAGAACGAAGGAAAAAACTGTCTAGAAATCGTAGGTTATTAGTGAAGGGAAAATCCCTTCTGGTAATATAGGAAGGACTCACTAATTACATCTGATTCTAAATTCAACGAGCCTGTGAAACTGCTAACACATGACACTGCCACGACCAGGAAAAAGTAATTACCTCCTGCAGGTAAGCTATGTCCCAAGCCCTCAGCTCACTGTCGGAGGCCCCCGTGATGAGTCGCTTTTCTTCGGACACCAGCACCAGCCCCCACACCTACAGAGTGTAAAAGGAGTCAAATGAACTTGACTGTTGATGGATTCCAGCATGCAGGACCTGACAGTCCAACAGTTTACGTGTACTGTGGTGAACTCTTGTTGGCTTCTGCAAAGTCTAATATTAAGGTAACCCTTTCAAAATACACTAAGAGAAAGCCCACTTTTAGTAGAACTTGTGCATATGTGACAGCCAGCAGTTCCTCTGTCGTCTCCTATCCACAAGCTTAGATGACGGCTGTTCAGCATAAATCCTAACTGGAAGCCCCTGCAGTGAGGATGTAAGTCTGATTCTTCTTTGCTTTCAGCAGCGCACTGCAAATAAAAGGTGCTCCATTCATGTCTATCAAACCATACTTTTTAGCCTCAAATATCCAAGAGCTAAACAATGAAAACAATAGTTTTGCTGTAAATCAACACAAAACCTAATTTGCTTCTTCCTCTGTACTAATTCTAAGGCATGATACTCTCATCTATCCTAGGGTATGTATGTATTTTTTGGAATTATAATTCACACACAATATTCTATTAGTTTCAGGCATACAACACAGTGATTCAATATTTTTATACATTGTGAAATGATCACAAGAGACCCGTTCCCGTCCATATTATACAAAGGTGTTACAGTATTATGTGTACATTACATCCCATGACTTATCTTATAGTTGGACCTCTGTACCTCTTAATCCCCTTCCTTTTTGTTCCTCCCCTCAACGCCAGGCATGTGTTTTTGAAAGCCTGGTGTGAACAAAGCACAAAGGAGGATGCAAAGATGTAGAACGTTCCCTGATCTCTATGGAACAGATCTATGTTCAGGTAACTATCATGATGGCTGTGATTTGCTGTTTACCTGTCATCAGGCCAGGCACTGTACACAGAGTTATCATTAAACTTCCCTACGATCATAAAGGTGGACACACAATTTAAAAGTGAGGAAACCCATATTCATGGGTTAAAAACTTATCAAAGGCCAATTTCTTACTAAACGCCAGAGCAGCTCCATCTGCTCTGATGGTTGACACTTCGTCCACCACACCAACTTCTTTCTCTCAAGACAAGTAGACGATGATTTACTGTTAGCAGCAAAAACAGAGCCATGAAGGGGCAGAGAAGAAACCACCTTCCCTGTTCGCCTTGTCATTCTTTCCCTGGGCCCACCTCCCTACAGGTACCTCAGTTCGGTGGCCAACTATTGTTCTGAAGCAGTGCTGGGTATCCAGGTCCCACCATTTCACCATCGTATCTTTCCCACTGGAAGAAGAAACAGGACAAAAAAATCTTATCAGGAAGAATCACTAAACTAACAGGGAGATCAAGGACTCATCTGTTGCCTTAAAAAGGCAATATACAGCAGTGATGTCTAATGCTTCTATGGTACCTGACCCTTCTCTCAAAAAGTAAAGAATCCTAACTCTCCACGTGGCTCCTCTCAGGTAGACAATAAAGTGTTTAATCTGTAAGCACAAAAACAGCCTTGAGTTCAGAGTGTGGCAGCACACAGAACCGGATCTGTTGCCTGTCATTTCCAAGACCAGAGCATCAACCCTCTTTCACACCATCTAGCACAGAAACATCTTAGATCTCGCCTGCTCCCTTGTCTCCCGTGTCCAGTCAGTCACTAGGTCCTGAAAAATGCCTCCTCTGGGAAGTCTCTAAGCCTTGATTCCTTCCAATCCGTTTCTGTACACAAACCTGAATTTAAATCCTATTGCCTGGGTTAATTTAGTAATTTATCGGGTCTCTGTCTATTCCTGTTCCCACCAATACACTACAGTCAGACAGTCTCAGTTTTCTAAGTCTGCGCTTGCTCAAGGTTCTCTAAGATATGGAAACCAGGCTCCTCAGCACCATTCCCCGAACCTCCCATCGTCTGGCCCTTCATCTCCCTGCCGGTGCGCCCCACTCCTCGTGCCTCAAATGCCCGTGCCCGGCTTCTCAACCAATATGAATCCAGTACGATCCTGCTTCATGACAAAATTGGAAAAAAACCAAAAACCTGGTTTACAAAGTCTTTCCTATAATCTCACTTCAGGGTATTTTTGCTTCCCCTTATATTCCCTGAGTTGTAATGTGTGTGTATTTTCCAGCAGAGCCATTCCCTCACAGAGCGTGTTACCAGAACAAGGGACACACACATGTCCCTGCGTCCTATCCCACGGGAACTAATCCACCACTGGTACAGCACCTGGTGCTGCTCCTTCACAGCCCCTTCCGGGTCATCACTACGGGGCTTCTAATTACTGCCCGGCACAACTTAGGACCCCAGGCTCTCCCGGGTGGCCATTCCTTAGGAATGATAACCATTAGGTTGAATGATATGAAATTGCTGGTATTTGGCCCATCATTTTCAACCTACACAACTGGAAACTTCAACTCGTTCAGCCTAACAGATGTTCAGAAGGCCTCGACATGGAGTATGCCTCTTCTCCAAAGGTAGGCTGAAACAAACATCAGGTGTTCACATCTCCCCACTGCTCTGTATTCTGCTTTTCCTGACTCTCTAGGGATCCAGAAAATAAAGACAACTCATTCTATAAAAGGTCTGTCAAAAGGTTAAGGAACATGAAAAAGCTGGTATCAGGGGAAAAAACTGACAAATCATACAAGAGAATTAAAAAATGCTAAAATACCTCTGGATAGTGTCGATGACACTGTTTGGGAGGGGAGGGAAGGAGAGCGAGCAGAGAGCAGCAGGCAAGCAGCACAGGAGCTTGAGCACAGGGGGGAGCAACGAGTAAGGAATGGAGCAAGTTCCCTCTCTGAAATCCTCCCCGATGAGTTCACCTGGAAAAAGAACTGGAAACGAAACTGTCATTTCTTTACCTGGTAACTAGCAGATTCTTTTCTCGCAGAAACAACGCCTGTGTGATGGCGTCCTTGTGCCCCTTCAGACGGTAGAGACCACTTTCATTGATCACATCCCACACAATAACATCTGTGTCCTAAAGGGATCGAACGATACAGAAGAATTTTATCACGTAAGGCCTAACTTGAAAAGCAACAGGATGCACTATTTCTATTGCAAAAGTGGTAAGTAGTCCTTACAGAAAATTTGGAAAGCATATAGAAAAGTACAGAGGAACAAACACCAATTAATCACCTACCCAGACTTCACCACCACGTTTGTTTTGTCTGGTCCCGGTCTTCATGTATACACACAGCTGACTGAGATGACGCTATTCCTATCGTTTCATAACCCTCTCCCTTTCTCTCACCTACTACATTTCCACTTTTCCATGTCCTTCCAGGCTGTTTTCATTTTTAATGGTCACATAATAACCAACCTTAAGGATATATCATAATTTTAACTTTTTTCTATTTCAACATTCCTGTACATAAATCTTCATATATATCTCTGATCAGAATAAAGACTAAAAAGGGAAATTCTTGAGTTAAAAGCCATTTCTGTTTTAAGTGTGCAATTCACACCGTCAAGGTGATCTCCAGCCTACAGGACAACCAGGGATTATGTGTGACAAGGCCAATCTTCCCATCCCTTTAGCTCTGGTTATGCTCAGCTACTCAGAAACCACCGCCAATTTCACAAGTTGAAAATGCTGTGTCAGTGCTGATTTGCATTTCTGAATACCAGTGAGAAATTCTGTACATGCTCTGTGGTGATTACTGACCACTTTGTACCTCTTCTGAACTGTAAATTCATGTCTCTCATCTTCCTTTACTTGACTGTAGGTTATTAAGACACGATATTGATCCTTTTTATACTGGAACTATCAAATATTTCTTTTTCATTGTTCCTTAATTTTCCAAATTTATTGAGAAAATAGCTGACATACATCACTGTAAGTTTAAGACACACACAAAGATCTAATCTGTTCTTAGAAACAATAATTAGTACAAAAAACAAAAAATATGCAGTATACTGTTTATATGTATTTACATCCAATATAATGTGTATGTGCAGTTGAACTGTAATAATTCTACATAATAAAGCTGGAAAAAAAATTTAATTAAAAAACAAAGACATACAGCATGATGGTTTGATTTACATGTTTTGAAACAATTACCACAAACGGTTCCACTAACATCCCATCTTCTCAGATACAAAAAGAAAAAAAAAAAGGAAAAAAAAATTTCTCCTTGTGATGACAACTCACGATTTATTCTCTTAACAACTTCTTTATACTGTTTTAATGCACAAATGTTTTAAATTTAAGTATTCAAATTTAGTCATCTTTTCTTTACAATTTCTTTTCTTGCTGCTATGCTTGAAGTCTTTTTCCACCTTGGTATCAGGTAAGTATTTATGTCTTCTAGTTTACTTAAATTATCATGGTTTAAAATTTAAGTCTTTAACCCATGACTCATTTTGGTACACGGCAGGAGGTAAAGCTTTAGCTTAAAATTTCCCCCCACACAGCCAATTATCTCATTACCACTTTATAAGTAATCCATCCCTTTTCCACTCGCCAGAAATGTCATCTTTAAAATATACTAAGTAGCAATCTTAAGTGGATTTGTTTCTGGGATTCTCATTTGGTTGCAATAATCATTTTTGTATTGATACCAGGTTAATACAATACATTATAAATTATGACTTCATAATGCATTTTATATCTGAAACTTCGAACAACAAAAACAAAAATAAAAACAAAAACAAATCCTGAAAAAAAAAATCTGAAACCCTTTTATTACTTTTTCCCCAAATTCTCCTCTTTATTATTTACTTGTTTTCCCATATTTGCCTCTATATATCATTTGGTCACGTTCTAAAAAACAACAAAAAAAAACCTTTGGGCTATTTATTTTAATTGCTTTAACTATATAAACTAATTAGAAAGTAACTAGCATCTTTTCAATACTTTGCCTTCCCATTCAAGAACATGGTGTGTTTATTTATTCAAATCTTCTGTTAACATTCTTTGGTAACGTCTCACAGTATTTTTGTGCCTGATACTTGCCGTACTATTGTAAATGGAATCACTCACATCATATTTTTTAACTGAAGATTGAGCTGTAGGAAAGCTACTGATTTTACAGAAATGAAAGGCCAAGAATCAATATTTTGTCTCTCCTTTTCCAACCTGTTTTATTTCCCCCACTTGTGTACTATTTTGGGTAGCACGTCCACAATGATGTTACATAATCATTGTCATGGGCGTTCTCATCTTGTTCCTGTATTTAACAGGCTTTTATCAGAGACTATGACAGGAAACGAAATGAACCTCCCAATTCATACTCATCCTCATTTTGTTCCTACCACCTATACTGTTTTGTCCAAGTGTCCACTGTGTCACCCAACAGTTTCTGTGAACAACCTGCTTCAACATTAGCCTTATACTCCTTTACTAGATCTGGGCACCTAATTCAAGGTCTCACCTTGGACCCAGATGCAAGCCTGCCTCCCAGCTGATCATACTTCAGGGAAGTGATGGCTGCTTTGTGTCCACTGAAAGTCACATTTCCTTCTCCACTCAGGAGGCTGAAAATTCGAATAGACCCATCCTCATAACCGACAGCCAAGTGCAGCCCATCCGGGGAGGGGCACAAGCAAGTGACTTCGTGTTTAAGCCCCTGAAGGATTAGGATCTGAAATAATAAGAATCAAAACAATGCAGAGGAGTTAAGCATGTCATCAAGGGAAAAGTGTAAGAATAATCAAAGTTAAGAGTATCAGTAATTCCAAAGCGCTCTTATGAATAATAATGAAACTTGCATTCTATCTCAAGTTCTTTAATATATGAATTATCTGTACTAGGTTAATGAAACATTCAAGAAACAGTAAAATTTTCTTCAGAGCTCTACATCACCATAATACATGCAAAAACTTCTCAGGCAACGGAATATATTACTAAGGTCTTATTTTATGTCAACATCAAATGACTTTCCATAAAGGGTAATAAACACATACTTGCTTTAATTGAGCTCCAGCTCAGAAACCAACCTGCATGGTATGAGAATGCTAAAGTGGTTTATTCCCAAAGGACTCTGGGGTTGTGGCGGGGGGGGGGGGATTGTACGTATAAAAGCATTACCCTCTTGGAGGTCACAAAGTGAGTGGACGAGATCAAAATCTCGGTATTTGGTTTGGCAGAAGTGGTAGGCTTAGGGAATTCAGAGTCACACAAAGTATCAAAGGCTAGTTTAACAACCCTTGGGTCTCATCTGTATAATTAAGAAAACGATTCAGTCAATATAGCAGAGCAATATTCCTTTTAAATCCTAATATTCTATATCCGGTTGTGAAGGCAAGTAGAAGTTGAAAAACTGAGAACTGGCAAAGCAGAGAAAAATCAGACATGTTGGGAATAACGATCACAAATAATGACCTGGAAACATCACTGCAAACAGATCTCTAAGTGGTAAGCTTTTATTTGGTTGTGGTTTTCAGAACTTAGTGCAGAAAAACACAACAGAATCTGATACTTGGTTAGCCAGACCCAAGGAAAAAAATTTTCTAGGAGCGCACACATAAAAACTTCTGTGTATGATAAAGCAAAGCTCTTTCACTTCTGCCTCCATCCTCAAATACCTATAAATCAGTATTGTATCACCCCAGGTGATTTCTTTCTGCCTTACCTTCTCTCCTTTCCTTAAGTCCCAGATGAAAACATGTTCACAGGCCGGTACTGCCACATAGCGTCCTTTTTCACCACGAAGTGTCACGAAGACAACATTGCCTTTCTGGCTGCCGATAAGGCCAAAGACGGCACTGGCAACATAGCGCAGGTACTGCTTGGTGAGTCCCATGTTCAGACGTCCGACACCACAGGGAGGCAGCTGAGCGTCAAACAATGAAAATTTAGTTCTTTGGGTACCTTGGATCTGCTAGGCTAGCAAACATTTGGCTTCGATGCAGCTAAACAATTCATTTCTGCCCATTCTACTGTCATCAAAGTTTTTACCATTGAGATTGACAGCCTGAGACTGAAAACATTTATCAACGAGCACCTACTGTAAACATACCAATTAGACAGGCAGTGATCTAGATGCTAGAGATATGGTGTTGAGTAAAACAAAATCCCTGATCTTGGAGCACTTACCTTCCATAATAGCAGCTCTCAAACTCCAGTGCGGATCTAAATTGCCCAAGGGATAGTTATGAAAAGATTGCTAGGAACCACCTCCACCTCACCTCCCCAGTGTCTATTTCTGATTCAATAGGTCTGGAGTGGGGCCCAACCTTTTTCATCTCTAACAAGTTCCCAAATGCTGCTGCTACTGTGCTAATACATTCAGGTCTGTCCTTGACTTCCAAATCAGGGCAGCCACCTCCTCTTGGCACATGCAAAAAAATGGTACTGCAACTCGGCACACTATTTTTGAAAGATGCAATAGTTCCTGTGTAACAGGACAGACCTGGGACAGACCACCCCCCACGTCCTCCACCCAACTGTTTTGCAGGAACTTTAGCACCCTAAGCCTTCCCCAAGTTCCAAAGAGCATATTTAATCAGAGAAGTGGGGAAAAAAAATGCAGAAACAAAGGAAAACAGTCAGGCAAGAAAAAGCCAAGGACCTTCAGTTCCTCAAGGGCTATAGATAATATTCTGAGCCACATCCTTGAACTGTTTTGCAGATGCTGAAACCCCTCAGGTGGCAAGAAGTTAACTGCATGCAGACCACCAGCATGTAAACCCCAGATCAGGTGGAACCAGAAGGTTGATGGTGTTCAATCCCTATTACCTCATCACTAACCAATCAGAAGAACGTCCACAAGCTGATCATGCACTACCCTCTCTCTCACCCTGTCTTTAAAAACCTTTCCCTGAAAGTCATGGGGTGGAGGTGAAGGTTGGGGTGAGAATTCTGGTCTTTTAAGCACTGGTTGCCTGTTCTTGCTTGGCCTTGCAATCTAACACTGCACTTTCCTTCACCACAACCCAGTGTTACTGCCCACAGACAAGGGGATGCAGTTTGGGTTTGGTAACACCTGCACTAAGTATCAAATTCACTGAAAACAATGGTTATGGGTTAAAAAGAGATCACAGATGAAGCAGATTAAGTTAATTAGCCTGTCAGCTGTTGCTATGGAAATATGAGTATACCCCAGAACACCTGTGCAACTTAAAAAACACAAGCTTATTAAACACAAGTGACAGCTTTTCTTAGCACTGTTTTTTTGTTGGTGGTGGTTCATTTATTTGGTTTAATGCTACAGGGTCTCTTTCTGATTATAATCTGCTGTTTTAGTCTACTTTACCAGGAAAATATTCAATGCCAACTCGATGGTAATATTCTCTTTTAATGATAATTTACTGGCCTCATTTTTCTTCTCCTAGGAACCAACATAAAGCCAGCTAAAAATGAAGGAAAGGTAATACTAACATGGCGATAATGCTCTTAGCCCTGGCCATTTGATCAGTTCTTTCACAATTCATCTTTTTCCTCCAGCCCCAGCCCCTTAACTGTATTTGTTTTTCATGGGAGTCTTTTGCCATTGACCAACTCCTTCCATAGTATTTTCCCTGGAGGCTTCATACAGCGGACTCAGGGACTCCCACATCTCTATTTCCAGTCCTGCCCACATGCATGAATACTAATTACACAGTTCCAAAAACTTACTAGACATCCCCATCCAAATACCCTGTAGCATCACATTACTGTGTCTAAAACCAAACCCACCTTGCTTCCTGAACCCCTCTCATTTTTTCCCTAACTTGAAGACACAAAATTCTTCAAGCCATTCAGGCTCAAAACCTTGTAGCAACCTTTGGCTCATTAATAAAATTATTTTAGCAGCCAAGACTTAAAGAGTGCTTACTATAAGGTAACTGATACATTAAATTATAAACGAATTAAAAGTGTAAACATATACAGCTGTTTAATTATATACAGCAGTTGAGTTAATTAAATGAATAAATGTACGTAAAGCACTTCAAAAAGCACCTAGTATATTGTAAATTTAAGCACAAAATTTTTTTCACAAGTACCTTACAAGGTAGGTACAATTCTTATCCCCATTTTACAGACAAGAAAATTAGGCACAAAGATGTAAAATACTAACCCAAAGTCATTTAGCTAGTTTTAAGTGCCAACACCAGATTCCAATCAAGCCAAACTCCAAAAATACCTGCTTTTAACCACTAAACTACTTGTCTTTGCTTTTCCCTCTTTTTTATCTAAAACTTCGCCTGATTGTTCCTCTGACATAGAATCCTTTTCTCTTTCCACTATTTTCTGTTCCAGCTCCTTATCACTGCGTTCCTGCACTGATTTTCTATGTAGGACCTCAGTCTCTGTGTTTTTCATTCTTGTCATTTAAAAATAGTACTGCTGCCTGACTAATCTTTTCAGATGCATTCTTCCTACCCCAAAGCCCTTGAAAGGGCTAAACTGTTTGCAGTTCCCAAGAACTCAACGTATCTGTCCTGTATTTCTTGAATAAGCTTCTCTCGTCAGGCTAGTTGGTTTCCCTCCTTGTCCTGCCTTTTCATATGGTTCCTCCCACCTAGAGTAACAAGCACTCTCCCGTCTACCTATTTTAATCAATGTTATCCCCTAAGGCCCATTTCCCTCAGGGTTTTCTCTCAGGGTTTTCCACTGCCTCAATACTTCAAATGTCTTCCATACAACTTGGCCCTCGTCACTTTGATCCACGTGCATATATCTCGACGCTTTCTGAAGAGAGAGCGCAAGACCTAACCTTCCTCTGCGCCCCTACCATCCCTGTTTCCTTAGCCCAAAGCCCCTCCTCCCCAAATGCTGCTTCCATGCTGCTTCCATGATGCACCGAAAGGCTGGGCCGCGTAACAGTCCTGCCAGACGTCCCTAAACCGAGTCTTCAGTCAGAAGGTGAGGGGGGATTCCGCACACCCACCTCGCCGCGAGAGCATCGCAGGCGAGCCCTGCAGACGCACGCGCCAGCCTCCTGCGTCCGCGGGCGGCTCCCTGAAGCGGTGGGGCGCTCGCAGTAGCTCAGGTTACCCCCTACCCTAGCGACCTGGCCCCAGTCCCCTCTGCTTCCTCTGCTGCTGGCACCACGAAGGCCTCAGCCAGAACCAGACAAACTCGTAGAAGCCGATCAAATGCTTTCGGCTGCCGCACACCTATAGTACTCACCTAGGCCTCCACGAGGCTCGGGGCTGGTTGGACCCGCCCACTGGGCCCGCCCCTTCCGGATCCGCTCACGGACCCTCTTCCGCCCGACGTTCCCTTTGCCTTCGGGGGGAAATGACGTAAAATCCAGGCTCTGATTGGTGAGCGCCGGCTTGGGGCGGAAGCCAGGGGTTTGCAGCCCAGGGCTCCTGCGGCGGATCATCCCAGCCTCCTGGGACTTTGGCCCGCCTCACCCGCCGAGCCCCTGGCGAGGGTTGTCCGGGGATGCCTTCTCGGCCGCTTTCCACGCGGAACTTAACCGGCCGCGCCTGCCGCCCGGATGGGACCGCCGGAGTGCTGTGAGAGGCGG